TTAATTTTAACATAAAGGCATGTAGTGTGTCACCGCAGTTAAATCAGTGTCTATCATGATCAAACCTAACTTTAGTCCCAGACTAAAATGCATGTCTGGGCTGTTTTAACAGATAATAACTTGCACTAACATTTTTAAAAATGTTTTTTAAAATAAAAAAAAAAAACTCAATGTTTTTGTACAAATGAATAAATCAATAAAAATTCTTGAACTTGGTCATATTACATATGTGGTCTCAAAACTACAATACCTTTTATATCACTGCTCAAACAATAGAGCAGGGTGCAAAAACACTGAAATGCATGAGTGCATCAAATGTAAACGGTCAATGCAATTTAAGTTGCTTTGGATAAAAGCATCTGCCAAATGCATAAATGTAAAAATGAAAATGAGCCCACAGACTTTCTGCTAATAATTTGCCAGTAAAGTGCTCATGATCCTGACAGTAAAGGGCTAATATACCATATTCTGCTATAAAATCATAATGCTTAAATTTACTGTATGGGTCTTAATATTGGATCTGCTTAGTCATCGCTTTAAACAAGTAATAAATAAAACACATAAAATGTATATTATCTTAGCATGATAATCATACCAAGAGTCATTAGAATCAGATATGCGCACAGGACCAGATTCATACTGTAAAAGACAGGTTGTGTTATATTTTCAGATATCTTTATTTCTAGATCCTCCTGGTTCTGTTGCTCTGTCATGCCTCGTCTCGTTGGGTTAATTAAATGAGCCGTATGTTCTCGGTGTGACAGTATTTGGCACTTTAGGTGCTCAGGTGAGCCTCAATATGAGCCCGAGATCTAAAAATGCAGATGGACTGAGAGCAGTTATAGATATTCACACATAGATGCTCCATGTGGCCAGTTTGAATAGAAGTCAATGGAGAAGACATATCAGTGAAGTAAAACTAAGCTATTTAACTTTAAAAACTTACTGAGATTACTGGAGCATATTTTACAAGCAAATACTATTACAGTTTCCCGACTTCAGCATTTCACATTTAATTCAGTGCATTGCTGGCTATTTCTTTGTAAATATTAGTGAAATTTGCTAGAAATCACAGAGTGAAATCTGTTACTAAAATATCCTTTAGGCAAGGTAGCACATGTGAATAAAGTATAATTGTAACTAATAGACATGATTGTCTACATTAAGTCAATTATTTTCTATTAGATGTTTTCTGAAATGTTGTGTTTAAATACGCAAATGAAGCATTGTCTAATTAAATATTGACCTATTTGCATACATTTACAGAACATAAATCAGATTTTTGGATAAAGCCAGGTTCAACATTTCTGTTTGATTTTGTTGACATATTATAGTTAAAGGTGTTTCCAGAGGGGATTTTGGATTTCTCTTTTATCAGAAAATACTGTCAACAGCCAAATAAATAAATGCATAAATAAATAAATGTTTTTAGTAATAAGATTTTCTATAAATCAGTGTGAATGATATGCGAACAAAACCCTCAGTAAAAACCTTCAGAATAAACAGTACATAGAAATAAAACTGAAACGTTTTGTGTAAAATGACCTTGATCTGTAATGCAGTTAAAATCTGCAGACGCAAATAGATAAAGTGCAATAATAAAAAGTCTCTAGGTTATGTATGTAACCATAGTTCCCTGAGGGGAACAAGATGCTTTTGGAATTCCTCTGCATGACCACATGTGAAGCACGTGTGAAATCAGTTCAATGGAATGGCAAGACGTCATCATGGGCAGGATGACACTCACAGGGACGCAGGAAGCATGGCAGGGAGACACAGCATCTCGTTCCCTTCGAGGAACCATGGTTACATAAGTAACCTAGATATGTTTGGGAACAAGAATACCCACTCCGCCATGCTTACAAGTCCCTGTCTTTTCTGAAATCATATGAGCACAGCAAAGACAAAAGGACTGAGAAGCCAGGAGGGGTTCCCACGTGAAGGTTGTAGAACCTTGACGAAACCTGACAAAAGTAAGCGAGGAAGACCAACCTGCTGCATTACAGATATATTGCATAGATAACACAGAAAGAAAGGCCCTAGAGGCTGCCATACTTCTCATACATTGCACTATGACCCCAAAGGGAGAAGGAAGGTCAGAGGACTCATACGCCAGAGAGATGGCCTCAAATATCCTCTGGCTTTGGGTCAGCTTGGTCACTGGGAGACCTTTCTCGGGCGGACCAAAGCAAACAAATAACTGATTAGATTTCCTCCACAGGGCAGCTCTGTGGACATAACTGTGCTGTGCTCTAACTACACACATGAGGTTAAGCTTCTTCTGGTCATGTGAGGAGATGGCCTGGTCTTCAGGGAGGAGATGGCCAATAGAAACATGGTTTTAAGTGTCAGGAATTTCTCAGGAACCTCCTCGAGGGGTTCAAAGGGTGGTACACAGAGAGCTTCCAGGACCACGGCCAGATCCCAAGCCGGGACTCTCATGCACACAGCAGGCCTCAGCCTCAGGGCACCACAGATGAAACATGTAACCAGCAAGTCTCTCCCTAAAGATTTACCACCCAGAGGGGCATGGTAAGGAGCTTTGGCCACCACGCACATCTTCAGGGTGGAGGGGGTCAACCCTGTGGTAAATGGTTCCTACAGGAACTCCAGCACTGAACCAATCTGGCAGTTGACTGGGTCCAGCAGACTGCTGCCGCACAAAGATGTGAAAAGATTCCACTTCAAGGAGTACAGTTTCCTTGTGGAGGGAGCTCTGGACTGGAGAGTGGGCTCAGAGACTCCCTCAGGGGGCACACCCACAGTTTCCGTAACTCTGGCGGGGGAGAATAATTGACACTGAGGAGAGATGGGCACATAGTGATGAGGTGCCACAGGCATCAGGACTTCTTGGCCAAATAATTCTTAGCAAGAATAACAATCTACTTCTGCTTCGAAGACTTCAACCAGGAGTGCCACTCCGACCCCATATCTCTCTGCGGGGGAGCACAAGAAGTGACACTCCGCTTTTGTTCCTCATTGTATGAGGAGCTGGTAGACATCTGGGGCTGCTCCCACCTAGCAGCCCCTAGGACCTGAGAACGGTGAGGGAGGAACTGCTGGAACACTGCTGCCTTCTTCCTGGCCTCCTGAAACCTGTCAACAACAGAATTGACAGTGTCACCGAACAGGCCAGTAGGTGCAAGCATGGCGTCTAGCAGGAAGAACCGGTCCTTCTCCTTCATGTCAGACAGGTTCAGCCAGAGATGTCTCTCTGCAACCACCAAGGCAGCCATAGACCGACCAATGGCTCTGGAGGTCTCTTTAGTGGCACAGAGAAACAACCTCCTCGCCCTTGTCAAGGTCCTTAAGGAGATCACCCTGGTAAATCTGCAGCACTGCCATGGCGTGCAAGCAAGCACCGGCCTGACCTGCCAGCACTAAGGATGTTCTGAGTGGCTTATGCTGATATGCTGATGCCTTAAGGGACAACGCTGACTTGGGGGACAGATAGCCCGCAAACGTCTGCTCCATCCAAGATATTGCCCTATAGCCCTGCTCCCTTCGCCCCACAATATTAGAATAATTTGTAACTGTGAGACTAAAGAGGCTGGCTAAAAAATGGTTTCCCCCACAATCTCGACACCTCGTGTGGAGATTGGGGGAAAAAGGAAGACCCTGTCATGGAGGTACCGGCTTAACATGCAGGTAGCATTTGTCCAGCTTATTCTTAGAGCAAATGTCCTCCTTTTCAGAGTGCCAGTCGATCTTAAGCTTGGCCACCACTGTTGGCCCAGCAGCTCTTCATACTGGATGGACTGAGGTGTCTTCAGCTGCATCCTGGTTGATGCCCACCACATCAACCTCCTCAGAGGAAGACTCCCTTTGGGGGGCAGAAACCACAGAGCAGGCTTCCCATCTCTGAGAGAGCACTAGACCTGGTGGGTGAGGGTGAAGAATGGGTCAAGCCCATCTCCAACCCATGCACCAGATACATTTGCAATCTCCATGACTGCAGCCGTTGCTCTGCCTCAGTAGAAATGGGACCTGAGCCGCGAGGACAGCGAGCCTGGGCATCCTCCTCAAAGAGCGTCCAGTGAGAGCAAAGCGTGTGCAGTAGACCACTCACAATGCACGTAGTCAGCCTCCTCGAGAGCTGACCGTGCATGCATGCTCTGAGACAAACAATGCATAGATTGTGTGCATACCCACCCGTAATGTAGCGCAGGCAGGGAGGAACACACAGACTAAAACATTGCTTGTCAGACTTCTTCTTCTCGCTCGTCATTGTACCAAGATTTGCACAGCACACATGACAGACACACACAGAGCGCTGCTGAATAAACAGAAGCTAACACTATTTACACCAGATGCTTTGAAGCTTCCTGGTCGCTACACCATCCTGCCCATCACATCTCGCCATTCCATTGGACTGATTTCACATGTGCTTCAGAATGTGGTCACACAGATGCGTTCCCAAAGCATTTCTGATACAGCATGAGTTCCCTGAAGGGGAACAAGGCAAAATTATATTTGAACAAACCATTTAGTAAAAACCTTCAGAATATAGATAAAAAAAGATATAAAACTGTAAAGTTTTGTTTTTGTAAGAGCTGCTGAAGTGGAGAATAAAACTTTATTTAAATAAATGTATTGGAATTAAAATCTACAGATGCAAATAGATATAGTGCAATAAAACTCTTAAAAGTCTATTTTGGATGTTTTCTTTCCACTAGTCTGAAAGAGGACATGTTATGGAAACAAAATAGCCCAAAATCTAAAACATTACCTGTGGATAAAGAAGGTGAATTGCAGTAATGATAATTTGGAAGAAAATGTAATAAATGGTCATGAAAATAATGTAATGCTAAAAATGTTAAACATACATGAACTCTTGATGTGTTTAGTAGTATGTAATCTTTGTGAATGTAATTGATGAAAGTTTAACCAAACAGATTCTTACATAACCTGAAGTCCTTCACCACCTGTTACTTTTTTGAAGCGCTTTAAGTAAAGATGTTAACCAAGAATACTTTCATCATTTACCATTTTACAGTTAACAGGCAGTTACAAGTGAAGATCCAAACTGTTAGTGCGACTAAACGCCGGGGGAAACACACCGGATCCCCACAGTGAGGAGGACTGTTACCACAAGAACTTTCTCTTTTAGCCCAAACACCAGCAACATCATCCGCCCGAGGGTCTATGCCCGCTGTGAGGATGGCAGACAGCAGACACAGCTCTACAGACCCCTGCTGACATCCTTAACACCGCCGACACTGAATATTCAACACTTTAACACAATGAAAGCCTTACAATACAATGCAATGTATTTGTGTTTTGCATGTAGAATATTTGAGAAATAACCACAGAATTCAACCATGCTCCACATTTTTCTTCCAGCTCATCAGTTTTTCAATCATGTCAACTTTATATCTCACAATTATGATGTGTTTATATATATATATATCATAATTGTGAGAGATAAAGTTGTGATTGTTAGAAAAATAGTCAGAATTGTTAGATAGAAATTTTATTATATTTTTATTTTGTGGCTGAAATAGGCTTCTATATCTATCAGTCTCTCAATACACTGAAAAACAAGAAATTACAGACAAGAAAACATGACAGAAAGCTGGAATAAAGCAAATTAAATCTATGACACTAATAACAGAACAATCTCAGCATTTGCTGCTTTCTGTTCTCATGTTAAACTCGGAACATGAGGTGATTTGGTTTGCTGGATCTGCTGATGATGATACAGATGAGAGCGAGCTTTAAAAATGCACAGCAATGAAGGGTGACACTCTAAAATATCAAAACAGACACACAAATGAACTGGTGTAACAATAATCAAATCTAAAAGACTGTTTTATGCTGTTTGTCTGTTTGTCTTTGCATCAGTTTGATTCTTCAGGTCATTTCCCGTCTGTATTGATGCGCCGCAGTGTCCCGGACAGCGAGACATCAAACACGTGAGACCATGCATCTATTTTTAAATTATTCATCTACATGCTGTTCCAGGAATGCCGTCTAACAGTTCATCTGATCCAGATTCCAGCAGACATTGTTGAGACGTTTTAGGGAAAGATCAAATCGCAGTCACCTCTCTCCTGTTAACTCTGTGTCCCGTCTGTGTGTCATTTCCACTTTATTCCTGTCCTATTTCACTGACAGCACAACAACAACTCACAGAATCTGCTCTTAAAGCCTTTGAAATGGTTCCTTCATTGCTGATTCTGGAGCTGAAGATGTATAGGATGGACAACAGTTGGGAATCAGTCTTACAGACAGGTAGAATGAATATCAATCTCAAACAAAGCCGTTTCTCTGATACAGCTCTATAAGTCCTCAGAAAAGAAAAAAAACTTCCTTAAACTGATGCTCATGGGACAAAACAGTGTTCCACATCATTGCATTCTAGGAACAGCCATAAACACAGACACTTCTAGCTACCCAGGCCTTGTTTCATATGTTTTTGTAATGCAATGTGAAAGAATCTTTGATGAAGAGAAAGTGCAAAAACATTTATTTGAAATAGAAATCTCTTGTAACATTATAATTGTCTGTATGATCACTGTTGATCAACTGAATGCATCCTTGCTGAATAAAACTACTAATATCTTTCAGTAATCATTTCATGCCAAAAAATATAGAATTTTGTATACTTTTTATAATTGTGAATTATTTTATTATACATTTTACATTTGATGCAATACTTTTTAATATTTAAATTGGAATCAAAAATCTATATTAAAAATTATATATATATATATGCTTGTTTATAACTTGAACAGAATAAAATAATTATTTGAAATTTTTTGGGAAAAAAATATATAGTTGAGTTTATAAGTTTGCATACAACTCTATATCATAATTGAGGTATAGTATTATTCATATTGTGAGTTTGGTGGCTGTAAACTCATGATCTGCAGATGGTGTACGTCTCTTGCCTCAATGACTGCTTCAGTTTGTTTTTTTTCCTTCTGTAATCGGCCATTAGGGTGGGCCAGTCACATCTCTGCTTACAGATAATTAGATGCTTCTGTGTCATTTCCAATCAAACAGAGAAATAATTACAGGCCTGTATATCTCTTCCTGTAATTGCAGCCTTTTGTTTCAGTATGCCTTGTGTGAAATTATATTACATGACATTATTAGAGTAAGCATAGTATAGTATTGTAAGAGTCCAGCGGTGCTTAGTTTCATTATGGTTTCAATTTTATATCAGACCTTTCTCATAAAATGTCCTTAGAGGAAGAGTTTAGGTCTTTAAAATGAATGGGGAGCAGCTCAGATCATTTGATGAGAAATGTTTGAGTTCATATCAAGGTTATTGTCATTAATTAAAACAACTTAAAACTATAATTTAAAAACATAAAAAGTTACTTGGAATAAAATAATAATACACTGAAATCAGAAAATAAACAGAAAATTTAAGCTAGAAAAAATTTATTTATTTAGATTATTAATGAACTGTATTTAGATTATAAAGATTAATATTTCAAAACTATACAGACATACTTAAAAATATTAAAAACAACAAACAACAAAATGAATAAATATTAAACAATTTAAACAACAAAAATAAACACTATATAGGCATACTTAATATTAAAATGACAAAAACACAAAAAATATTATTACAAAGTATAATAGCATATCAATGATAAATAATATAACGTGATCTTTCATATCTGGTCAAATCTGAACACAGTTTGAAACACTTGCAATGTTTTGAAAAACTCTAGATGCAAATGTAAAGGCCGTGACACACCAAGCCGATGGTCAGTAGTCAGGCCATCGATGAGCATCTGTCAGACCAGTGTTTTGATGTGTTTCACACGTTGGGCTCATGTCAGCATGTTGAATTGGTGTCTGGGCCGTCGGTGAGAGTGAGA